GTGGGTTTCCTCCAGGTGCTCTGACATGTTCTCCCTGTGTCAGCGTGGGTTTCCTCCAGGTGCTCTGACATGTTCTCCCTGTGTCAGCGTGGGTTTCCTCCAGGTGCTCTGACATGTTCTCCCTGTGTCAGTGTGGGTTTCCTCCAGGTGCTCTGACATGTTCTCCCTGTGTCAGCGTGGGTTTCCTCCAGGTGCTCTGACATGTTCTCCCTGTGTCAGCGTGGGTTTCCTCCAGGTGCTCTGACATGTTCTCCCTGTGTCAGTGTGGGTTTCCTCCAGGTGCTCTGACATGTTCTCCCTGTGTCAGCGTGGGTTTCCTCCAGGTGCTCCAGCTTCCTCCCACAGTCCAAAGACATGCAGGTTAATTGGTGACTCTAAATTGTCCGTAGGTGTGAATGTGAGTGTGAATGGTTGTCTGTCTCTATGTGTCAGTCCTGTGATAGTCTGGTGACCTGTCCAGGGTGAACCCTGCCTCACCCAGTGTCAGCTGGGATAGGCTCCAGCCCTAGTGACTCCTAACAGGATAAGCACTTATGAAAAATTAATGAATGAATGAAACCATTGATCATTAAAGAAATCAGACTGATTAGATTATATTCACTTTAAATCTGACATACTGGAGCTTAAAGTAAAAGCAGCAGTGTGACTGTCAAACTATAAAAATACTGTGTTACACGTAAAAGTCCTGCATTCAATTTTTTTGTAAAGTTTTAAGTCTCAGCGACAAAACAGACTTCAAGTATTAAAGTGACAGTACTCATTAGGCAGCAGAATAGCCCCTTCCACTTTAATGGTACTGTATCATAAACTGCATTATCTGACTGTTATTACAAGTACTATTACTGCTATTACTACTGTGGTAGTTCATTTACACTACCAAACTGTATTAATATTTCGTAAAATTTTATAAAATCAGTTTAGGTTGTATGTGTAGAAGTTTAATCTGTTAAGTAACTAAAATGGACGCATGTTTCTAAATCCTGCTGAGACAAACGTCCTTTAACTCTTCAGATTCTTAAAGTGGCAGTCGGATGATCTTGTTATCGTCTTGATGTGAATGATTTAATGCAGGTTTGCATCCAGGACTAAACCACAACCTGTGGCTGAGCTCTGATCTCACATCGTTCACATTCAGCTCTGAAAGTTTTTTCAGTTTGACCTTTGTTTAACTGCGCCTCCTGCTCTGTGCACGAACGGAAACACAAGTGTCGTCTGCGTATGATGAGATATTTAGTTGTTTTCTATATCTGAGCAGGACAGCAAATGTAGATAAGCATGAAACTGAGAACCTGAGACGAACATCTGGGATTATTTCTGATATTTTACAGACTAAATGACAAAAATCTTTCACTTAAAAACACCTGACAGTTTAATCCAAACTAAATAATTCTCAGATAAACATGAAAACAACCAGAGAAGGACACAAACTTTATCAAAGGACAAATAACAAACACAGACCTGCTGGTTCATGCTCAGTGTCTCTGTACTTCCTCTCTGCTTGTCTCTTTGATGGTGTTTTGGTTCAGTACTCTGACTTCCTGTCCCTCCTCAGCTCCGCAGCATCAGACAAAACCCGCCTTCTGACTCAAATCTGATCTCAATCATCTCCAGGTGGGACAGCCCCCCCTGAGAGCAGCCAATCAGGTCGCAGCTGTTCATTAACATAAACCCACAGCAGGTAGAGTACGAGGAGAGAAAACCCAACGGGGGAAGTTTGTGTTCGGGGTATTTTCAGCATGACCTCTGACCTCAGCAGGAATCCACAGAGGTGATTTTACTTTTCTGTTTCTCTGAAACGTGTCAGACCTTCTGTTCCTATCAGCCTGATGAAATGTAACCTCATATCAACGTCCTCACAAACTTCCCCCAAAACACCTGAGTCAGGACCAAACAAACCAACAAACAGTGAGACCTTTACAAACAGCTGCTTTACTGTCCCTTTGTTCACAAGCTTTAAACACAGTCGTCGTGTCTCAGACATTACGTTGTTCATGTTTCTGACAGAATCAGGATTCACTCAGAGAAAACACTGACCTGCATGTAGCAGCTCGGTCTGCAGAAGAAAATGTTAGCATTGTGCATTTCTGCAAACCACAGACACGTTTCGTACGTATCATATCAGTGAGTGACGTATAATATAAGCAGAAGGTGGAGGGGATGGTGGAGAGATGCCTGCCAAGCTGCAGACCACTGTTCAACACCAACACACAATAAAACCAGTTGTGCTTTAGTGAGTTAATGTCATGTTTCCAGCAGCTTTTCAGCCCTCATGGGTGGATCGTTTTTACTGAGATATTGCTGCATTTCCATCCATCCGTTTTCATGCACTCATGCGGGTTGGAGTGTCAGGAGCAGCAAAGCACGAGCTGAGCAAAGAACCCCAGACGTCCCTCTCCCCAGCAACGCTTTCCAGCTCCTCCTGGAGGACCCTGAGGTGATCCCAGGCCATGTCATGCACACTTACATGTGCCCAACCCTCACAGGTTTACAAGACACCATTACATTGATGTTGCAGTAACAATCAAGAGTGTGTGTTATTTAACTACTCAGTCCAGAAACAAAATCCTCGGCCTTCTACCTCAGGCCGGGCAAAGAAATTCAGCCACATAAAAGGTTCTCCTTCTGAAACAAAACTTTTGATGATCATCCAACCAAAAGAAATCAACAAAGACAGAGGTCATTTTACTGAAAAGTACGTTCCTTATGTCTTCATCATCGGACAGGAAAAACAGGAAGTGATTCTCAACTTCACCGAAGTTACACAACAAACAGAACAAACAGAAATCCAGCTCCTGGGCAGTGACTTGTGGCGTCAGGAACCAATGAAATAAAGGCGTCCTTTAACGTCGGCATGATATGTGGCTGGTTGCTGTTATAGTTTAACAGCACCTGACAGCGTCAGGAGGAAACACAGCAGGACAAGGACGAAGGTTAAGACTGTGGAAGTCTGCGTGGGGTGAGTGGATAAATCCAGCAAACACCGACTTTCAGCTGAGAGAGCAGTGTTCACTTCCTGAAAGATTGTAAAGCCAAACCCTGTTCTATTTTCCTAAACCCAACTACGTGTGTTTATTGACGAAAAAAACATAAATTCCCAGTGTTGTACTGATGTAGTGCTTTTATTTTGAAAGCGACTGTATGCAAACTGTACATTTCCTGTGAAAACAGAAGTGTATTTTGAAAACAGACAATGCATGTAACAGGCTGAAGTTGACACAGCGTCCCAGAACATCAACAACCAACACACCCAGGGTACCTTGGACGTCATATGTGGACGTGGAAAGTCCATGACCAAACGTGGACATGTGACGAGGTCACAGTGAGGATGATGATGGTCCTCCACGGGTGGCGTTAAACCTTCCAGTCTCTGAGGCTGATGCTAACATTCCTGATTGCAACTGGGCACTCTTTGCCTTTTGTTTAGATTATACTTCACGTATGTTTCCACACTTTAGCTGCTCTTTCAAGTTCATAGTTTTAGGTTATACCATGAGTCAACAGACCATCGTTCTGCAAAACATTTCACTCCTGATCTCCTGATTATCCATCATCATCCTCACTGTGACCTCGTCACATGTCCACGTTTGGTCATGGACTTTCCACGTCCACATATGACGTCCAAGGTACCCAGGGTGTGTTGGTTGTTGACGCTCTTACAAGATACACTTCTGTTTTCACAGGAAATGTACGTGTTGTCAGTATAACAACACAGATTGACTTTTTTTTCCTTCAACAACACACACGTGGTTGAGTTCATGAAAAAAGAACAGGCTTTACAATCTTACAGGAAGTGAACACCTCCCTTCAGTAGGTGTCAGTGGTTGTTGGACCCATCCACCTCCCCTCCCACCTGCCCCACTCCGACTTTCGTCCCCTTTAACTCACGTTGTTGTCCTGAGGCGTTTTCCCCTGACACCGCCGGGCGCCGTTAAACTATAACAGCAACCAGACGTGTATCACGCCAACCTTAAAGGATGGCTGTTTTCGTTGGATTCTGACGCAGCAAGTCACTGCGCAAGTGCCGGATTTCAACAACTTCAGAGTGAGACCAGCTCGAATATCACAGGTTCACCTGTTCTGGAAAATAAATGACTAATTGTTCGGCTCGTTAGCTCGGGGACGACAGTGGGAGGCGTCCCAGGTAAAAACCTTTTTAATCAGTCTCTGATCCGACATCTTTACAAGTCTGTTCCAAAGCCGAAGTGTTTGACATTTATGCCTGATGTTTGGAGGTTCAAATCCCATAATCTCCACTGATGGCCAGAACTGAAGTTTGTGGACACTCAGGAAGAACCAAATCGCATCCAATCGTAAAAATAAACCTTAAATTGTTTTGGTCAAAAACCTCAACATAGACACTGAGCTTGTTTCTGTAGCTCATCTGGTTCAAAGGTTACTGCCCGAACTGTTTTCAGGTGGCGGCCATATTGAATTTTACCAGTCATCAGAATGCCGATCTGTGACGCACAGATGTCTTCTACATGTGTTCAGCTACATGTGTTCAGGTGCTCAGTTTTACCGCCCGACTGTTTGAACCAAAACATCTACAGATCAAACATGTTTGTTTGTTTTGTTTATATCCATTAAAATGACACACACCTTAGAGCTCCCGCCATGACTCCGCAGAAACACTGATGATGATGATGAAGATGAAGGTGATGATGAAGGCTCCGCTCCCTGCAGGAGGAGGATGATCTGGTCTTCTTCGCTCCGTTTTTTTTTTTTTTTTTTTGCTCCGCTCCCTGCAGGAGGAGGATGATCTGGTCTTCTTCGCTCCGTTTTTTTTTTTTTTTCCCTGCAGACACCAAATTAGGAGATAATCAGCACCCAGGGTTATATCTAAATCCATCAGAGGGGATTTCCACTCCTCCTCCTCCTCCTCCTCCTCCTCCTCCCTGTGATTATTTGGGAACGATCTTCCACTTTCAGCCCAAACAAACAACAAACTGCTGCTCCTCTTAAAGGAACAGTCGCCCATTTTCCCTCCAGACAAACATCAGTTTAATGTCTGTGGTTAGCCTAGCTTAACACAAAGACTGGAAGCAGAGGGAAACTGTTAGCCTAGCTTAGCAAAGAGACTGGAAGCAGAGGGAAACTGTTAGCCTAGCTTAACACAAAGACTGGACGCAGAGGGAAACTGTTAGCCTAGCTTAGCAAAGAGACTGGAAGCAGAGGGAAACTGTTAGCCTAGCTTAGCACAGAGACTGGAAGCAGGTGGAAACTGATAAACTCTGATAACTGATAACAGATAAACTCGTTAAAATGAACTTTAAATTTAGATTTTTTTTCTCTTCAAATTACTAATACATTTTGATGACTAAAGATCGACTTACTAGCTTGTATTCTGAGCTTTCAGCTTCATGTCATGGTCTTCGTCTGTGGATGTTTTGTCCAAAATCAAAGGGGTTTTAACAGCTGACGAGTTCACGTGTCAGCATGCCGACTGTTATGTTTACAGACTCAACTCCTGGATGATGAAGACCGTGAGACGCAGCTGAAAGCTCCAGATGAAGCTGGTCAATGGATCAATGCTCCGTAAAGAGGAGGTTGCGCACCTCAAGTTATTTTGTCACGTTTTAAGTTTATAAATCATTGAAATCAGATGATTGAATTTATTCTGCTGGAAGTGTTTTATTTAATATCTGTTTTTAAAACATTAAATCTGAGTAAGGACGAGTTCGTCATGTTTGTGTTTGAAGTTGTTCCTTTGACTTGAAACGACCTGTGCAGCTGCAGTTTGTATCTGAGCTGATGTGTTGGCTCATTAAACACAAAGCTGATAAACTTTAATCAAAGATACATTCAAGTAAAATGAGTCTGAGCCTGAGAATAAATCTGGATTACGTCACAAACATTTCTCTCTAACCAAGTTGAGTTAAGAAAAACAACATTTAGTTCTTGTTTTTTGTCTCTTGAGGATCAAATTGAATTCTAACAGTGACGTGAAGTCACAGTTTCAGTTACTGAAGCAGAGTGAGAATAAAACACAAAGTGTAATAACTCTACTGATAAATAAATGTTGCTGCTCAGTGACAGTCACATCAAACTGCAGCTGTTTGACTCTTTTTACATCTCAACAAATTAAATCTGTTTGTCCTCATTAACACACACTCACCCTCTGACTCAGCTGCTCATTAACATTGATGTTACTAACAATAATAATAATAATAATGATCAGCTGTTTCCAGGTTAATAAATCAGCTGATCTCTGATTTTAAAGAAGAAAATAAACTTTAAATTTTGTTTAAATCAAAGTTTCACTTCTTTTCTTCTGTTTGGGATCAAATTCTTTTTTTATGCTGAAAGTGACTGATTTAAATTCACATTTCAGTTTGACGTTGATGTGAAAACATTTATCAGTCTGAGTGTCTGCAGCTGATCGAGTTATGGATCAGTTATGGATCAATTATGGATCAGTTATGGATCAGATATCGATCAGTAATGGATGAGTTATGCATCAGCCTGTGCTCAGAGAGGCATAATAAAGAGTTTAAAGGTGAGCCTTACCTGTGTGCTGCAGCTCCGTCTGTCTGTTTCCCGAAAAACACTAAATTCCCAACAAACAGCAGCAAACACACCTGAGACAACTTCCTGTTCGGGCTTTTCAAAATAAAGTTAGCTGGAACAGAAAGCATTTATTTGTATTCCTTTATTGGCCCTTTAAATACATTATTACTCAGTCTTTTATTTTGCATCACTTTCATATTTTTTCTCTTGTCTGTGTTTTTGGGTTTGATTGTTTCACTTATATCCCATCTTTCAATCATATAATAAATTAATATGTGGAGTTTGTTCAGAGAAAATGCAGAAAAACTAATTTATTTGAGTCATTTTTAACCTTTGCATTCATGTAATCACGATTTCCAGTTTTATTGTGTTTTATATTGTTATTGTTGTTGTTGTTATTTCAATTTTTACTCCTATTTTTGTGCCTCTCACTTTAACTTAAACATCATTTTGGTGTTTCTGAACGTGTTTTATAAATAAACTTGATCTTATTTAAAGTAAATATGATAGAAAATAATAATCATTTTGGTTTGAAATAAACTTTTGGTCTCTTTTAAACTTTTATTTCCAGCTGTCCGCAGAGTTCAGTAAACAGAGGCTTTTAATTTGAAGGTCAGCTCTCTGAACCGGAAGCAGCTCGGCGGTGTTGTCACGGTAACCAGCAGCCTGTCAGTCAGAGTGGAAAGCCCCGGAGCTCGCGGGGAATTCCGGCGCAACGTGGCAAATACAGCGCGCTGATTGGTGGAGGCAGGAGGAGAGACCCGCCCACCGCCGAGTACATGCATTTATATTTATTTATTTATTTATTTATTTATTTATTTATTTATTTATTTATTTATTAGGGTCCATGCAGGACACTATTGTAATCCTAGGTATTCTTCTTCTTTCTTATTTCTTATTTCTTCTTCCGAGGAAATTATACGTCCCATGGGTGAAAACTCACCAAACTTTGCACAAAGGTCCAGTCTCATGCCAGATATCCTCAGCTGTAAACTCAAGCCAATAGTCCTGATGGTGGCGCTACAGCAAGCGTCTAAAGTTCAAAACTTTGAAAATTCATAACAAATCAACCATACGTGCTACAACTTCACAACTTTCATCAAACTGTAGCCCCAATACTGAAGAAACCTTTGTACATTTAAACCTATTAAAAATTATGAAGTTCATCACTGTTTTTTTTTCAAAAACTGTAAAACTTCTTAAACATATCTCCTCCCACAATTTTTGCTCAATTGACACCAAACTTGCTACAGAGCATCTTCAGACTGTCCTACACAAACTATGTTTCTCAGATTTTTGATTTATCAAAAATTGAGCCTACAGTGCATCAAAATGTTTGACTGTAAACGGTACTGTAAACATATACATGCAAATTCTTGCTAAATAAATCTTCAATGTTCATGAAAAAATGACAAAATTCTAGAGTCATGGTAGATGATGTGTGGCAAATTTCAGAATTTTATCTCAAAAACTGAATTTTTGACAGCATTTTGAATTTTGCTCTAATGTGAACAATTGGAGTCAATGTAAAAATGGCAATTTTAAACATCAGTTTTTCACTTATGGAGCAAATCAATCATTGTTACAAACAAATTACCAACATCTCCATGCTGTCTAGATGCAATATGTGTATTTTCAGATTTTTGTCTTAATAACTGAATTTTTTACAGTGGTTTGAAATCTGCTTTTCCATGCATGGACGGCTGCTAAACCTGCACGTCTGGCTTAGTCAATTTGTGAAGCTACACATGAATTGTCACTGACTAATTAGCTCAGTGAGATAGAAATTGATTCTTAGTGTCAAAGGTTGTGAGTTCAAGCCTCAGCTGATGCAAAGGACAGATTGTGTTGCTAAATATCTTCCAATTCTTCTGCTTGTTGCTCAGAATTGCCTAAAAATGCCCGGACCCGACCCATCACTGCGCAGCAGATATAATTACTGTTGTTGTTGTTGATTTTATCAAATAAATTCAGAGTAAAAGAAAATAATCAGATCAAATAATTAAAGAACAACATGATAAAATAAATTAATGTTCAAATATTTTAAATTTACAACATAATAAATTTATATGTGACTTAATTATAATAAACACCCACAAATAAACACTCAGTGGTGAAACTGTTGATTATTAGTTAAAATTTTTGTCAAACTTTTCATTAAGTTAAATTTAATTAAATATTTCTTATTAAAAATAAGGACCTGTATGGAAGCCTAGCTGTGTCACAAAAAGAGAGAAATAAGGACAAAAATAAAAATACTCCAGGTTAATAAACATCATGAGAAACTGTCAAATTTAATATCTTATCATTTGTAATAATTCTCAGAAAATGAAACATTTGATATGTTATTGATATTTATTATGATACATACAAGCAGACAGAGAAATAATCAGTGTACAGTTAGTTTGATTAAAGATTTGATTTAGAGTGACACAAAACAGACAACGTCCTTATTCGCATAAACTTATAAACCTTAAATGTGTTACACAAAAACATTCCCTGCATGTTTATAATATTGATGACCAAGTATCTGTCACACAAACCTGAGTATGTGACATCACCAATTAGCTGTGACTTACAAATAAATATATATAAATATTAATGTTACATATAAACCTTCATCAACTTGATATATTTAAATAATCCACACCAACATCTTATCAGCTCGTTATCCTCAGAAAATTTTATCTAATGAAGTCTGATTATATTCTGACGTGTTTCTTCTCTCTGCATCAAGTTTTTGTATTTTTATATTTGTATAGTTCTTTTGTAAATTTAATTATTGTTCACTGATTAGTTCGTTTTTCTGCTCGGTGTCACGTCACTTATCTTTTGTTGTATTTTTCTTAATTATCTTTAGTTGTTTTCTTTTTAAACTTTTTCTCTTTGAGGGGAAAAAAACCTGAAAACAAAAAGCAAATATTTTGAAATATTTCATTACATCAATAAGATATTTTAACACCGGATCTCTTTACGTGACTCAGAATAATGTCACACGTCAAAATTCTGACTGTAACTGTGACGTGGTGACGATGACGTTAATGAACATTTTGTGTCTGTTTTAGACTCGACTTATAATTCTAAATAAAATCTTCAAATCTCAAAATATTCCCTCACTAAAGGCTGAATAACGATATAGAAAATTATTACAGTCGTAACTCGGATTATTTTCAATGTCATTTTGAACTTTAATAATAATAATACATTTTATTTAAAAGGCGCCTTACAGAGCGAAAACTAAAATAACTGTGACATGTGACGTGCTGCTGTCGTCTGCTGAATAAAGTTACAATTAAAACATGTTAAAAATTTAAATGAGGAGTTCCCTCAAACATTAAAACAGCATCAACCTTTAATGAAATAATAATACAAATAAAAACTCGTGAACAGGTGTCTTTTCAGTTTTTTATTTTCACTGTTACATTTTAACAAAAAGGCGTAAAATCTCCCTCACACAGGATCCCCAAGTCCTTTCAATCAGAGCCGAGACACAGAAAATAGAGTTTGTTTCATCCATTAATCTCCACATGCAGCACATGACCCCGCCCCCTGGCGTCCCCCCCGTCCCCCTGTCCCCTCCCCCGACCCTGAGAGATGAAGGTTTCCTCTTTAAGGTTCCAGGTGACTCTTTGCTGAACAAGCTGAGAGCTGCAGTTTCGAGCGTGGCAGCGAGGGGGCGCTGTGACAGAAAACAACAGCTGAAGCTTTCATTTGTGCATCTGATGACCAGTTACAGAGACTAACTGGGACACCAGTGAGCAGTGGGGGTTGCATAGTTACAGTCAGATCAGACTCTCACACAGTTCAGCATCAGGAGAGAAAATCAAACACAAACTCGCTGCGGAGTCAAAATCTGTCGTCATCAAAGACGGAAACATTTCTTGTGTCACGGTTTTGCTTGTGCAGTTTCTACGCGACGCTGTACGAAGTTTTCTGTTTCCCACCTTCACACTGTTTGTGTTTTGTTTCCGTCTGATGCAGAACTCTGACAGAACGATTCAGAGTTTACCGGCTAACAAGGCTAATATTGCTTCCTTTAACTGCATAGATTAGCATTAGCTTTAGCAATAGCACAAGCTGCAACCGTGTCATGACCTGAAATTTAAAAACAAAGTTTTTTGGTTTAAAGTCGACTTTATGTCGCCAGCTAATGGCAGACGAGATGAGCAAAGAGCTAAAAGCTAACAGCTAAAAGTTAAAGGATCATTCTGCTGTTTTTCTTTTTCATGTTTTAACCAACATTTTACCGCTGAAAGAATTCTGTGGTGTTTTAGATTTATTAATAACTTGTTTGTAACCATGTGACCTCTGATAATGAGGACAGGAAGTGATGAAAGAAGCTGTCAGGCTAACATTACTAGCTAACATTAGCTAACTTTGGCTACTCTTTTCTACCTACTAGGTCTGGTAAAAAACAGGCTAATGTTACTGGCTAATGTTAGCTAACTTTAGCTACTATTTTCTAACTTACACATTAACTGTTCTCAGAGGTCTGGTGAAACGCTGTCAGGCTAACATTACTAGCTAATGTTAGCTAACTTTAGCTACTGTTTTCTAACTTATACATTAACCGTTCCCAGAGGTCTGGTGAAATGCTGCCAGGCTAACATTATTAGCTAACATTACCTAACTTTAGCTACTGTTTTCTACCTACTACGTTAACTGTTCCCAGAGATCTGTCTGCTGAAACCCGTTACAAGTTTGGGTCATGGTTAAAAACGAGAAGTAGTTACAGCACACTGTGACTGCATCCACCTCCAGGAAGGTTGAAGACAGCGGTGTACCGTTACCTTTTATTTTTATTTTCATTCTTTAAGTCTGACTATTTTCCGAACTTTAAGTTGATTAAGTCCGACTGAACAGCCGAACACAAGTCAGAGGTGTTTGTTCAGCGTTTCCTGCCCTCCATCTGGACGCTGATGTCGTCACGTGTAAAGAAACTCTTCTCTGAACTCACTGATAATATCACCGTCACATTAAAACACAGTTTTGAGTTCAGACTGAAGGATGACAGTATTTATAACCAAAAACACACTGGGTCAGACTCTGTAGGCTGACTTTGAGGCACGTCACTAAAAACAGCAGAATGAGCCTTTAATAAAATAAGTCCAGTAAATATTAAAGCTTAAAGTCCTGAGGCACATGTAAACTGCATTATACAAAAACAACAGACATCTATAGAAGACAAACATGTCAACACACATCGTGGACAAAAGTATGTGGACGCGTTCAAACAGCCTCCACTCATCTGCTTACAGTGTTTTTAAAAAAGTAAAAATGTTTCCAGATTTTCTCAGTTTTGATTAAATCAATATCTGGAAACTTTCAGGTGTTTCAGGCCTATTAAAAATCATTCTAACAAAACAAAACCCTCTGGATTTAACAACTGACAGAGAATTCATCTTTAATGGTTTTGATAAGACATGAATTCCTTTTTATTTTAAAGGCAAAATGATCCAGTTCCAGCTTCTCAGATGTGAATATTTTCTGTTTTTCTTCATCTTTTATGACAATAAACTGGATCTCTTCAATGAAAACTGCTGATTATAGTTTCCTAAAGACCACAGAGATGTCTTGTCTCAACAAGATTCACTTTAATGTCATAAAAGACGACAAAAAACAGGAAATATTCACATCGGAGAACTGAAATCAGATTATTTTTCCTTATTTCTGCATAAAAAATCTGTTAATAATCAAAACGATTGAAGATTAATTTTGTGTCAGTTGTCTAATCCAGATTATTTTGGCTTTTAGTGTCGTAAACAGATTTTTATTGCTTTGTCTGAATAATTTCTAAAATAAAAAAGGCCTGAAAGCAATCCTGTAATTCACAAAAGAAAAGATCAAAATTAACATTTTGTGCAGCTGAAATGTTAAATTTACTTCATAGTTAAAAATGTCTCCAGGTTATACAACACTAGTTTCATTAATCATTTCAGCTCGAGTCCAAACATCAGCTGAAGTTGGCGAACGATGGCGTCCACATATTTTTGGCCACACGCTGTGCTGAAGGCAAACAGTGACACAGTTCCTCTGAGGCGTTAAGACTCTGATACATGTCGAGAACTTCTCGCTATATTTGGGATGATATGTGTTTAAAGCAGCACGGCGGCGTTAAAGCTGCAAAACAGGAAGTTCCTGAAGAAGAAGGTAAACAGACGTGATGATAAAGGAATGAACACACACTGACACACACACACACACACACACACACACACACACACACACACACACACACACACACACATTCATCCACACTGTAAACGCTGCAGAGGTGATGGAAGACAGACGGGTAACAGACAGACGGGTAACAGACAGACAGACGGAGAGACGATGGAGGAGAGCCTATGTGAAGATGAGGCCGGCCTCGTTGTAAACCTGGAAGACCTTCTCGATGGCGTTGACGTACGCCGCCGTCCGCAGGTCCAAACCCAGGTTGTACTTGTTGGCTGTTCGCATGATTTGCTGCATGAGAGGGAGGAAGGATGTAGAGAAGGAGACAAGGAGAGAGGAGAGAAGGAGAGGAGGAGAGGAGAGGGATGATGTCAGTGTTGTTGACAGCTGGTCTCTGCTGCCCCCCGCTGGACAAAAACAGGTACAGCTGTTACACATTGAGCTCATGACAGAGGAAGACTTCTGTCGATGATGATGATGATGATGATGAGTGTGAAGGATGAAGGTCGCCTCCTTCATCAGTCATCAGAGAGCTCTGCTGTTTGTTGATTAGATTTATTAGTGCAGGTTTATAAATCTGTTGAATAGTTTTGTGTTCACAGTTTCTTCCTGCCGCTCGTGTCGTCTCTCTCAGAACTGTGACGTTCTCTCAGAATTTCCCCTTAAAGTTAAGAGTAAGTCTTTGTGAAGGTAAAAGTTATTCACAGAGCATCTCAGACCTTAGAGGAGCTCCTCAGGTGAAACACTGCTCAGAGCAGGACTTTAAAGGCCCTGACACACCAAGCCGACGGTCGACCGTCGACCAAAGTCGGGCCGTCGGTGAGCGTCTGTCGCCCTAGTTTTTGCGGTGTGTCCCGCACCGTCGGCACTTCGGCGTCTGCGGCTTTTTGGCTGATTGAGCATGTTGAATCGGCAGCGGAGCTTGTCGGTGAGAGAGATCACTCTGATTGGCTGCTCAGGTTTTATTTCCTCGCCCCTGTAGCGAGTGAATCTGCCTGTAGTGAAACCGGGGCTAACCGGTGCTTCCTCCTCAGGCTCCACTTCACTCAGCTGCCCCACAGACCCGCTGCTTCTTCACACTTTAACCTGAATAACAAACCGGAGCTAGCTGGGAGCGGCTAGCGGAGCGTTAGCCGCAGCATGACCGGAGGGAAGCACAGCCAGTTAGCCTCCGCTAGTCTCTGAGCTAGCCCCGGCTCTCCGTTTGGATCCAACCGGAGCACCGAGCCCTGGTTTGTTATTCAGGTTAAAGTGGGAAGAAGCAGCGGGTTTATCGGGCAGCTGAGTGAAGTGGAGCCTGAGGAGGAAACACCGGGACCGTCTGGATGTAATAGTCCGTGGAGGTGCTGCGGTGCTCGGCTGCACAGATAGGAAACCCCTCGGCTGACAGGATGTACCACTCTCTCACTCCGCTCTCTCTCACGCAGGCGCAGAACGTACGTGCTACTTGGCCGTCGGATGTAGTCCGTGTAGTGTGTTCGAATACAACTGACACAGGGCGACGTGAGGCGACGTAGACGACGCAACAGTTGGCTTTCGTCGCTGCTAGTTCTTTGATGTCGGTTTGGTGAGTCCGCACCTTAAGAGGTTTAAAGGTAGTACACCCTGCGTTTTTTTGCGCCCTCAGAGTCGTTTTCAATGTAGACGCACGGCAGGCGTGTTCAAAAGCCACAGCAACGCCATTGTGATGCACACACGTTCCTGAGCACCTATTTTTCAGGGCGTGACGGCTGCACCTTAAGATAAACTGAGCTCAACTTATGAAACGCAGCAGCGCACCACGTGCCATGTGATGAAGACCAGCCAATCACAGCTAAATTACATTAATCAATTTAGTTTAATTAAACTAAATGAATCACTGCTAAATTATTTTAAACACAAGTATCAGCTCAGAATGTCACAGTCGCTGCTTCTCTATTTATTTTACTTTACTGTAATTTAATTAAATATCTGTATCTCTGTGTGTGGACAGTATGGAGGAGCTATACTTTATATTTCACTGTGAAACTGTGAAATGACACATAAATTAACCTTGACATTATTTTCTGAGCACGAGACGTGAGGCTCTAATGAAAACTTTAATTTCATCTTAATCTGGAAAACAAGACGTTTAATTTCTGTTTTTGTTTATTTAAAGTCTTAAATTCAGAGAGAAACAGAACGTTTCAGGTCAGACCTCGTACAAACTTAAAGCTGTGACTTTTAATTAAACTGATTCAGACACGAGACGACAGCACATTAATATAAAGTGTGTGTGTATGTGTGTGTGTGTGTGTGTGTGTTACCCTGGCAGAGCGCTCCATGGTGAAGGCCAGACCTGAGTGAACGATGTCCTTCTCAGACGCTCCCTGTAACCAGACCACACGTTTACAACACCACAGAAGAAGATGATGATGATGATGTAATATTGGTAGCAGTGTGTGTTATGAGTGTGTGTACTCACAGAGATCCTGGCTTGGAACTCAGACGTGGGGACGACGGGGATGGCACCGCCGTGTTTCCCAAACTTCCTCTCTAAACTCTCCTGAACCGACACTGAGGAGACACAGACAGGAAGTTTGGTTTAACATCTGATCGGTGATCAATAATCGGTGAGATCAGGCTGATATCTGAAGTCACACAGAGGAACGCTGAGGTGACACTGAGCTCCATCAGTGTGTGACGTGTGTGTGTCCCTCACTGAGCAGGTGGTAGTTTGAGTCCCGCTCATATTTGAAGGTGAGTCGACCGTAACTGACGTGATTCAGATTCTTCAACCACTCAAAGTACGAGACCGTCACACCGCCGGCGTTCAGGTACATGTCCTGACACAGGACAGAGGACACGAGAGGACGCCAGGAGAGAGGAGACGAGGAGGGAAACGAGAGGAGGAAACAAGGAGGAGGATGAGAAAAGGAAACAGGAAGAGGGAGCAATAAGAGGAGAGGAAACAAGGAGGGGGAACAAGGTCAGGAAACAAGGGGAGGAGACAAAAGGAGGAAGAAACAGAGAGAAGAAGAAACAAGGAGAGGAAACAAAGAGAGGATGCAAGGAGGGGAAATAATGAGAGGGAACAAGGAAAGGGATCAAGTACATGGGAGAAGAAGAGGAAACAAGGAGAGGAAAAAAGATGACGGAACAAGGAAAGGGATCAAGATGAGAGACCAAGGAGAGGAATCAAGGAGAGCAACAAAAAGTACAGAAAACAAGAGGAGGGAACAAGGAGACGAGAGGAGAGGAGCGGAGCGGAGCGGAGAGGAGAGGAGCGGAGCAGAGAGGAGAGGAGAGGAGAGGAGCGGAGAGGAGAGGAGAGGAGTGGAGAGGAGCGGAGAGGAGAGGAGAGGAGCGGAGCGGAGCGGA